CAAGTGTTTGAATAGCTTGCTTTTGCTTAGTATACAATTTTGTATCAAATAATTAATCAAATATAATTATATTTAAATTATAGAATACAAAAATAGTAAATAATACACTATTTCTACAGTCCCAACCCCTGCACCACTAGCTGCCTCTGTCTCATTCTTCTGCGAGTGGGATTTGTGTTGGAAAAGGATGAATGCATTCTCAGGCCGTTCGACATAGTCTTCGTCACCATGTTTTGGTTGTCGCTCGGTCCCTGCAAGTTGAATTGCGAGCGTGTGTGAATTGAGGTCGAGCAGGTTGTGGTGATTGAGGCTGCGCCTGTGAGACGAGTTTAGAGTGATTAGCAAGTGAAAATAAGAGAGAGAAAAAAACGCACTGCGACAGTGTGCAGCAAGTGTCGGTGGGTCACCTGGGTTGGAAATCCGGAGTGTTGAGCGAGCTAATTTGGGCTGCAGGGGAAAGTGTGTCTGTGCAAGCGCGTTGCATGTTCTGGCTACAACGCGACGCACAATCAGAGATGCAGTGGACTCAGTAATAGTTGGGGATGACTTCGAAGGTGTATCTCTGGGACGTTCTGGCTCGAAGGGAGAGGATGAAGTGGGTGGTGCGGGCGGACTCGGCTCCGGAGAGGTGAGCGGTGGCTACTGCTTCTGTTATTCAAAATGGTGTCATGGACAGCACTGGGGAATATAAATGCACACGGCGTGGGCCCATCAAGGGTGATGTCAAGCATAGGATGGTAGGCGGGGAAGGAGAGTGCACGGGGGGTCAGAGAGAGGATTGTGCCCGAGGAGTGGTCATACATGGACATTGTCGCAAGCGCGTACTCACCGATTGTTGCTTGCGTTGCTGAGCGGGAAGAAGTACACAAATGCATGGAATTATTGAAGAAGTCGTTCGGCATTGGTCAACAATGTGGATGCACGAATGTGAATGCAAAAAAGAAGGCGAGCGTAATAAAAAGGAGGACAACGAAGGAGAGGCAACGCAAGAGGCAGAGCAAGGAGCAGGAGGATGAAAGGGAGACAAGGAGTTGGGAGGAGAGGGATGAGCAACTATTGTGTGAGTTATTATGAAGTGGACTAGCTGCTTACACTTTACGCTGAAGGACTGTGTAGCCAGCTCGGCCGTGTTGTCACAAGATCTGAGGCTCAGCACAGGCATCGTAGTGGCAGATTAGAGAGACGAATCCAGTGACGTTTATTGTCTAGGCGGTCACAGGCAGTGTGCCTGCTGTAAAATGCTTGTAGGCAGAGGACTGGGCTGGAGAGAACAAAAGAAACAACATAGTGTTGGGGGAAGAGGGTTGGGGAGATAGTGGAAGTAGGAGGAAAGGAGTGACGAGAGCAAGTGCGTCATTATATGCTCTCGATCCTCGGTACTCGATTATGTAATCACTTCGATATATTGTAAAAGTAAAACCAAGTTATATTATAAGTTTAACATAGTGATTGTTATCAATATTAACATATATAATTGCATATTATCTTATTAAAAGTATTGTAATTAACTTACAAGCACAATGTATTACTTTTATAACTATTATAATCAATCAACTATTGTTACAAATAAATTATAATAAAATTTTAACATATTATAATAAGAGTTAAGTGCTTATATCTTACATGTAATGTTGTAATAATACTAGTATTAAGCTTACTTGCTTTAAAAATACTTGTAGTTTAGCAAAAAGCTTGTATATTCCTTATATTTATATACAATCATTAGAATTGTATTATAAGTAAAATACAATTACTATGTTAGATTGTAATGCTTATGAAATTATATTATTAAATTACTTTTGCTATTATTAATTACATTTGTTGTGACTTTTTCATGATGACTGTACTTGGAATGTCTCAGACTATCAGACTTTACTATGTAGTATATAAGGCAGACACTTGCTTGATGTCTTAATAAGAGAGAGTATCTGGGGCACTCCTACTATGCTTGTTAAAAGGTTATGAGCCTTAGTGCTTATTGAATGCCCCTACACACTTGCTCTTACAGAATGCCTTCACCTCCTGCTAGCTCACCAAGCCCTAGACCTCCCTCTCCCCCTAAACCTATTATAATGTTGTCTACAATGTATACCTTTGTTAACACTATAATGAAGGACTCTGACATTACAAAGTTCTTTAAGGGAACAGAAAAGTTGGCTAGTGTGAAGGGATACAAGATATGGTGCTTACACATACACAGTGTACTTACTACTATAATTGTCAGCAACAGTGTAGAGGGGACCCAAAGGCTCAGCAAGGGGACCCAGGCTACAACTATCCTACACAACAGAAATACAGAATGCAAGCACTGGAACATAGTTAGAACTTGCAGAACAGGCAGAGAGAGAGAGTGAGACAAGAGTAGGGTATATAGAGTAAGCCTAAGAGTACAGGACTACCTAGAGTAGACAAGATCAAGACTACAGGACCAGTCTGATCTTGTACACCTATATATACTAAACTACACAAGAGCACTCAGGGAGCATGAGCCACTAAGAATGATGAGCCACAAAGAATGAAAGAAAGGAATGTACAAAGATAAAGGTACAAGAATGAAGGGATGGATAAGGGTAAGAGACATAGAATGATACAAGAATGAAGGGTGGTACAAGGAATAGAATGA